AGCCACCAGCTCTCACGTGTGAACGTGCCGGGCCGGGTGAGGAGGCTGAGGAGGGTCCTCGGTCTAACCAGGTTCTTGGCAGGGCGCTCGTGGCCCAGCGGACACCTGGTCGAGTCTGGAGCATTTGTGATTGACGTAACCTGGGCAGGGGCAGGGACGCTGCCTGACTCCCTGCAGTGCCCAGGACGGCAGCAGTGCCAGGGCTGAGACCACCCTGCACCCGGCCCTGTCCCGCCGTGGTGGCCGCCTGGTGCCTGCAGCCTGTGTCAGAGCCTCCTGTTCGAAGAAGTGCGTGTTACATGGTCCAAAAATCACGGAAGCCCCTCGCAAGGTGGCCGAGGGCCAGAGAACGAGCCAAGATCACCAGCACCAGGTAGCGAAGTTCAGTCTGGAACGTTGTCAAAAGTCAGGAACGTAGTTTTATAGAGATTAAATAACTTGTCCCGGGGGCATACACTTTTCTAAATAATAACTGCTGGACTTTAAAGCAAATCTACTCTCTATAAACATTATTTGGAAAATAATCTTATGATTGTGTAACTTTCTCAAGAGGTGAAAACTAGGTCATCAGAGAATACCTGCGTAATATTTACACAGTTGTCTGTGGCCTGGCCCTCAAATGCATGAAGGACAAATGTCATAGCGACACGTGTAAAAACTGCTCACCTTTGGGACGTCAACCTCCTACTGTGTGACGAGTATCCCGTAGTATTGGAGAAGGTTGAAAGTCAGGATTTAAGGGTTTTTCTTTCTGGAGAAGGACAGAACTGCCATTTGCCAACCTTTCCACCCACCCTTTGGCTGTGTCCAGGGTGGCTCGTCTGCCTGTCAAGGAGGGAGATGATTTGGGGAGAGCGAAGTGAAGTTAGAGCCGGTTCTCAGCATGTGGCAGTAAAGTGACCAGAGTCCAGTCTCAGAGAATATCGTTGTGCTGGAAAAAGCAGGACTCCGGAGTCCTCGGATGGGCCTCTGTCGCTTTGGCTTGTTAACTCCTTGACCTTGGCCACGTCAGTCCTTCTCGGTGACAGTTTTGACCTAATCTGTGAACTAATTTGTAATAACACTTGTCCTTGAGAAGCTCCTCTCTCATTACGCAGAACGTCCAAAATAGAACTAGAAGCGCTCGTGACCTGGAACTCGCTATGCAATTCTACGCACTTCACTGCACTGGTGACACCGTCAATCGGCCATTCTTCGGCGCTGACCCTGTGAGAGCTGCCCTCGGCAGGGCACCCGGCACCTTGCTTGTTCTTTGGTCTGGTCACAGCAATACCTTCCCTGATGTAAATTCTCAGCGCTCTCCTCTGTCAGAGGGGAGTGTCTTCAGGAGGCGTAGACCTTCCTCTTCAGTGTCACTTATAGGAGCAAAGCGGAGCCCTGCTCTGGAACGTGAGGTGACCGTTTCTTCACCCCAGTCCTGCCCCAGGCTTCCCTGAGCTGCTCCCTGGGGGGGCACCTGCCCCACACCCTCCACCCCAACCCTCGTCAGCTCTCCCTCTTTCTCACTTCCTTTCTTACAAGGTTCTCTCTTCTGTGACCTGTCTGCCTGGGTCCGTCAGTGGCCCCCTCCATCTGGCTGGGCCTCTTCTTCCTTACCCCCAGTGTGGAAGGTCACAGAGGTATCTCTGTCCTTCCCTCACCTTCGGTTCCATCTTCCTGACACCTCCCCACTGACCCACCCAGGCGCAGCCCACCCTCCAGGGAGCTTGGCCCGGGGGGCTTCCACCAGCCCTGCTGAAATGCTCCTCATTCTTTCAACTTCAGCTCAGATGCCACCTCCTTCCAAAACCCTCCCCCGAATATTCCTGGACAAAATGCTTTAACAGTCCAGCATCACTTTCAGCCTTTATTCGACAGGCGTGAAACGCACCTTACGCTGTAGCCACTGGTGTGGAGGCTCCAGGTCAGAAAGGTCAGAGTTCAAATCCCCTTTCCGCCTTAAGTCCCGGGACTAGTGAGGGAGCTCTGTGACCTCAGGTTCCCTGTGCTTAGAGCAGGGACAGTAAAACCAGGCGCCCGCAGGACTGAGTACAAGAATGCTACAAAGTGCCAGACGGGGGTAGACAACGTCACTGAGAGCGCCGGGGCGGCTGCAGGGTTGCTGTTTGGAAGGTGAGGTGATGTCTTTCCCCACAGAGGACTCGCCTCTTCCGTTCCCCAGCACCCAGGGGTGCTGACCACAGAGTGAGTGGGAAACTCAGCTAGTCTGAGGCCTGCGGCTGGGAAGTAGTGATCAGGAGAGATACACGAAATGTGGACCCCCTGTTTTTCTTGTTACTGTTCCTATGAAACGGGGTGGGGGGGTGTTTACTCGCTTCAGCTGCATCAGGGTCTGTCACAGGATTAACGACTTTTTCTATCACTATCATGGTACGTGCACTTGGGAGCTGCAAACCACCTACCCAGTGGTCGCTTAATTACCCTGGAGCAGGTCAGCTTATCAACACATGTGTGCGGTTTCTTTGAGAGAGGATAGTGTGTGCGTGCGTGTGAGGTACTCACACAAGAAAGAGGGATGACGGAGGAAAACCATCGCTGTGGAGGCAGGTGATCAAAGAGGTCCCGTTGGCCAGTTCTGCCTCTGTTTCTAACACCCATTGTGTTCTCAGAGCTGTGGAGTTTGGGACCCGGCAGTGTGCTTCTGTCACAGGTTGCCATGGAGAGCATTTCTACATCACAGAACGCGGACGTGCACTCTCCCTGCTTCCGGAATAGATTCGGTTCCCACATGAAGAAGGAGGAAATGATCAATAGTCACTCTTTGAAAGTGACTGTAAGTTTTTAAAATGAATTCACCATCTCTCAGTGACTTCCAATTTGGTCTTAAGGACTTGAATTTTTCAGACTTAGGGAAAAATTTTTTTTCTGCATTTAAAGAAACAGTTTTAGCAGTTTGTCAAATCTTAAGAACGTCAGTGTAAATCCTAGAATGAACTTTCTTAGCTTCTTCAGTGCTTGTAACCGAAGTCATAATTAAAGGGTATTACCAGAAAGCGTGGATACTAATTCCTGATTGGTGGTGGGCAAAGTGTCAAGACCCTGAGAGCAGGCAGAGCACATCCAGACTTGCGATCCACAGCAGCAGATGGGAGAGCAGGGTAGAGAGGAAGACAGAACACTGAACAGAAAGCCTCTGCTTGGTCAGGCCCACTCGTGTGTGCACGTGTGTATCTGTGTGTTGTGTGTGCAGGTGTGTTGCAAGCATATAAATAGGTATGTGTACATGTCAGAGGGTGAGTTTGTGAGCATGTCGTGTGTTGCAAGGGCAAGTGCATTGAGTGCATGTATGGTGTAAGTACATGCACATGTAAGAGTGAGTTTGTGCAAGTGTGCATATGTGTGGTGTGTGTTGCAAGGGTATGTGTGCATGTGTGTGTGCAGCTGTTGCACGTGTGCTGCACATTTGCATGTGTTGCATGCTGTTGTATGTTTACTATTGCATGCGTGCGTGGATGTTGTATGTGTGTTGCACACTGTTGCAAGTGTGAATGTGTTGCAAATGTATGCACGTGTGTTTGCACTTGTGTGATGTATCTAGTAGGTGCCATGAGGTTGGATTAGGCTCAGGACCCATCTTCTGGCCTCAGTTCTACCACGTTCTAGTCTCGTGGTCCTGCACACATGGCCCTCTTGAGTTGCATTCTCTCTGCCTGGGAAGTGGTGATAATGGTGCCTATCAGTAGAATTGTTATAGGATTCTTAATTGAATGCATCTTAAGTGCTTAGGACAATGCCCGGCAAATTGTAAGGCTCAACACATGTTGCACAGTTCCATGTTTATGTGGATATATAAACTACATGTATGTTAGTGGTATATATTTTCCTCCTCTATTTCTGCTCTGGTGATCTTCAGGCATGAACATGGCCTTCTAATTCGGTGTTTAGCCCAACTTGATACATAATCATAGGGTCAGAAACGTGATACGGCTTTTGTGATTCCTTAAATTGTATTAATACTTACGAAGGCTATCTGAAACTTAGATGACTTTACCAATGGAGAAAACTGAGTGAAAATAATTTACATTTTTATACAACGTCTGATGTTGTTAATATTTAGACATGAATTTCCGGTTTCCATTTTGCCCTGGGAGGCAAGCCGGAATCTTCCATGGAGTTTGCTTCTCAGTCCTCGGTTTGGTTTCCATCCTCCCTTGGTGCTGGATAAACACATTCTTCCCATTTCTCTGGTTCCTCCCTCTTTAAAAACCTCTTGGGCTGGGTGTGTGCTGTGGTCGTTGAGAAGCAGGTGAGGAGGTGGCTGAGACCTCCTTTTGCGGACACCCCGATGGCTCCGCAGGTGGGGCCCCCGGGGCCCGGCCCTCCATGAAGAATGCTTCAGGAGATGGAAAGGGCAGGCTCTTTCTTTGTCATAATATCGTCTTCGCTTTTTAAAATTCCTACCCTTAGAGACTACGTCCACATTTTACAAGTGTGTGGTTTTTTATTTTTTGTCTTTACGTTTCATTCTCTCTAACTTCCTCTCTCACTCTGCCCTGTCAGTGTGACCTTTAAGCCTTTCAGTCCCAGTTTCCTTTGAACGAGGGAACTAAGCAGCAGATGCGCAGTTCCCGCCCGGACTCCTCCCGCGGAGCTCAAGGTCTTTGCCTGACCCGCGTCCCCTCCCTGCAGCTGCATTCGCGCTTCCTCTCCGTGGTTTTCCGTCCGCGTTAAACACGACGTCGTAGACGCCACCTAAACACGAAACACTGGCCCTTCCCCGTCCTCGTGTTGGCGCAGCCCGGCTCTCCCTGAGGAGGAACCGCCTTCCCAGGTCTGCCTGAGAACGGGGCTCTCCCGGGCGCCGAGCTCGTAGTCGCGTGGGAAACCGGGTCACTCAGCTTTGGAGCACTGCGAGCTGACAGTCCTTTCGTCTGCGTGGACCGGAAGTGTGCGCTTCTGCTTTGACTTCCGTCCGGGCGCTTGTGAGCGGCTGCCGCTGCCCCTTACGGTTACCTTTCCTTCCAGTAGCCCTTCCTTCCGGCAGCCCTTCCGGCCGCCGTGCTGCTCTTCCGGTCGCTGGCAGTGACGTCAGAAGCGCGCCTCCGCTGGGCCTTTTTGCTGCCGTGTATTGGCGTTACCTGTTGCGCTCCGTCCTCTCTGCCCTTCCAGGACTGCAAGTTAAAAAAAAAAAAAGAAAAAAAAGCACGTCAGTATTTTTAAGCAGCATTCTCTTTCGTAAGTGTACGCTAAAATTTGCTGCAAAGAGGACCAGACGATTATCAACTTCGGGACAAAGCCAGAGGGACAGAGGACAGACGTCTTCAGCCTCCGGATAGGTCCCCAAGGACGCGACATCTCCCGCGTGGCTTTGTGGCTGAGAACTCGTAACCGGATTCTGGTCAGGAGGAAGTGCGCTGAGCAGGCTGAGGGCCCGTTGACATAGACGCGAGCCTGGGGGGCATCAGTGCTCCCCTCCGGGAGCCAATTCCGTCGGCCGCGATGGACGTCGAGGCGCAGAAGGAGTGGCAGGAAGTTCCAGCTGTGGCGTTAACCGGTGTACGTGGCCCCCGAGTTGTTCAGAGCAGCTCTGCAGTGTCACCTGCGGGCAGGCGCTCCTGTGGGAGGCAGGTCTGCTAGACAGGCGAGCCAGGCGGGTCTGGGTCTGCACTCTCCCTCCCGGAGCCTCTTCCCACCCCCTCTGGCTCCCCGAGTCCTTGGGCAGCCGCTTCTGCAAAGTGGGTCCTTCCTGCCCACCCACCTCTCATTTGCCAGGGAGCTACCTTTGGTTTTTACCTTATAAAGTGCCGCTAATTGAGATGTGTTGTAACAACCACACCTGCAACATTTACCTGCCCACAGGCCATGGGCACTTCCTGTGCATGGCATATTTAGTTTGCTCAACAGCCTGCCGGTATCGGTGCGCTGTCCCCAGCTTAGGCAAGGTCGGTGATGACAGATCACTTCGCTTTCATTTGTGTCTGTGAGTTCTTCACACGCCGAGAAAACCAGCCCTTTGATCTGTGCATTACAAATATATCTCCCAGTTCTTCTGGGAGATACGTCTTTTGCCCTTACAGAAGGAGTAGGGTTTTTTTTTCTCCTTTTGCTATGTGGATATTTTTATTTTTCACGTAGAAGAAGGAATTTTTCTGTGACATTTGCTGACACAGAAGATGAACAGTAACACCTTGGAGGGACCCTGAGCTCGCTCTGGCTGCGCTTGGCAACAGTGTCCTCCGCGGCTCCTAAGGTTCAATTACCAGTAAATGTTTTTTAAACTGAAAGAGTTTCTTTTCTGAAAAGAAGTTTCGCTCTCTGAATTGGCTTGGCTTCTTAGCTCACGTGGCTCAGAGATGGGCGTAGAGGTGGGTCCTGGCCCTGCCTTTCCAGGAGGGTGTTTGCTGGGTGTGGGCGGAGCTGTGAGCGCTTCAGGACCAGACGTGGCTATCGTGGGCGATCGGCTCTTCCACGGACGCCATTTAATCCTTATTCTTTTCCTTCTCTGAAAATGCCAAGTTGAATCCTGGTCACTTTAAGTGCAGAATCTTTTTTCCGGTTGTCTCGCGGACCTGGCAGTTGTGACTTCATCTCCCTTTACTCTGCACACTCACGTGCACAGTTCACGCTGCCGTGGGGTTGCTCCTTCGTGACTTCTGTCTGTGCCATTGGGTGATGCGCAGAACGAACGTTCCCTGACGACTTTCTGGGCACGTGACCACGTGCTGAGTGTGGTGGAAGGGAACCGTGGCCCAGAAACCACATTTAGTGATGCTTTCTGTCTCTGTTTGCAGAGTACGTTTGGTAGAAAGAGGATCTCCACATAGCTTGCCCCTGATGGAATCAGGAAAAGTAAGTATTAAAGGAAGAAAAAATGCATTTCTGTGTAAATATGAGTCTGCGTGCATGGGCTTTGAAATTTTAAGAAATGTATTTTATAGAATATTTTTTCTAAAAGCTTTCTTGAAGGCACTATAGCAGGACTGGGTTTGGCTATGAATACAGAAACTCAAGTGTTTTAAACGACTTAGGTCTCTTTTTCCTTGTGTAAAATTGGGCAAATAGGTGTCTCCTGTTCCATGAAACAGGCCTGGTGCCTCATGTCTTGTCTGCACAGCCCAGTTCCCACCGTCATTTCCACGTTCCAGGAGAAACGGAAAAAGGAGAAGGAAGCCATGCAGACCAGAAGGAAGGTTCCCACGTTGTCTTCCTGACACTTAGATACCATGGACAGAATTCAGTCCCATGGTCACACCTGGCTGGGAGGACGCTCGGGGGCCGTCATACTGACTCTGAACGTCTGGGCCTGGCCAAGATCAGAGCATCTCACTGGGGAAGTAGGAGAGAATGGTTATCAGGAGACAACTAGCAGTTTCTTGCCACGGTGGTTATGTTTGCGTTTTGCTGCTGCTGCTGTTGTGATAGAAGTAAAGGACAAGAAACATACTTAAGCCTAAATAAAGACCTTTTTTTTTTCCTTTTTGGCCCTAATCATCGGACCTTTTCTCCAAGTGACATAACTCTAAACGCATCTTATGTTACTTCTGGGCCTTTTATAATTTTGCCTGTATGACTGCAAGTTAGAATCCTTTATAAAGCTGGTTTAACAGTAGGAATATGCTCAGCACACTTCCTGGCGTGGTCTGGCAGGTTAGTCTGGCACAGTCAGCCACGGGGACCAGAGACGTGAAATCTCACTTTGAACTTAAAGGTACAGCGGGACCATTCCAGAAGGTTCTGTGTTTTTACCATCAAATGTTTTGCCTTAAAGTAGCTGAGCTGAGACAGGCTATATTCAAGGTTTTCAGAATGAACTTCTGATTCCTTACATACATGGTATCAGTGGAGTTTGAAATATTTTAAGGTAAATTCCCATTAAGAAAGGAGTGTTTAATATTGACATCCATTACAATAAAAGATGTTTACGTGGAGCAAAAAGTTCCCCAATAGCTCGAGTTGAAAATGCAATTAGGAGATCAGGACAGACATTCTAATTAGTGCCCAGCAGACTGGACTAGCAGTTGATGCAGAATCTTTGCCTTCTGGTACCACCAAAGCAGCTTTCTACCAAATCATTTTGCCAAAAGTCTTTTAGGTTATCTTCGAGTCCGCACTCATCCCGAAAACTTTGTGACTCCCTTAGTTTGGTGATTACGGCAAACACCACCTTTCCTTCATGCCCACATGCCATCATGTGAGGCATAGTGTTAAATTCTTGTAAAATTTTAATGTAAATAAGTTCATTTAATACAAATACATTCATTGGAATAACTGAAAATTCCTGTGCTGGCAGGTGTCAGGCTGTGTTAAATGTTACCGTGATTTTGTTCAAAATTTTTCTAATGATTTTTCAGCAGATTTCTTTTCCTTCCAGCCTTATTGAAGTATGATTAATTATCAAAATTCTTAATTTTAAGATCATTGCAACACAGGATATAACATTGTAGTGACAATTTCCACAAAAATGTAATTGTTAGACTATAATTTTACAATGGTATATAATTTTGTGATATATAATTTTGGTTTAATGCCATACTCCTGTCTAAACAATCTTTAGAAAGGAAACAGGCATGTGCATAAAGGAGATTGCGGTTGGTTTGTGTGTCGTGTCTACCTGTCTTTATTTCCACTGACAAGATTTCTCCTCTCCCAAATAGATACTTCCAGGGGTCCGGATCATAATTGCCAACCCAGAAACGAAAGGCCCATTGGGAGACTCACACCTGGGAGAGGTGAGTTCTGGGGTATCCCCCAAGACCAGTTTATTCTTCTGTTAAACACCTTCTGCTCTTTCTGGTGCCAGTACACACTGTCCATATGTACCGATCTGCAGCACATGCTGTTTACATTGGGTAAGTCATGCCTGGCTGGGAAATAATGTGTGATAAGCTTTATTGCTTAAATGATTCCGTGCAAGTTCAGAAATACAAAATGGGATTTCCTTAAGGAAGTATGAGAGATTCTCTTCAAAGAATTTAGGAAAGATGAAAACCACATGTGGACTTACTTCCTTGCTTCCTGGCTCTCACATCTCTTCTCCACATCCTGCCTTTATCACTGAGGAGCCCTTTGTCAGCCTAGAACGATGGCAGCATTGGTAAGTGGTAGTGAAGGGATGAGAAAAGTGGCAATCTAATGAATCTTCTCAAAGAACCGGAAAAGGATGAGCAAACCTACCTCAAACCCAGCAGAAGAAAAGGAATAACAAAGAT